GAGAGAATAGAGAGAGAATAGAGAGAGAATAGAGAGAGAATATAGAGAGAATATATATATATATATATATATATATATATATATATATATATATATATATATATATATATATATATATATATATATTATATATATATATATATTATATATATATATTATATATATATATCATATATATATATTATATATATATATATATATATATATATATATATATATATATATATATATATATATATATATATATATATATATATTATACACATATATTATACACATATATTATACACATATATTATGCACATATATTATGCACATATATTATGCACATATATTATGCACATATATTATGCACATATATTATGCACATATATTTTGCACATATATTATGCACATATATTATGCACATATATTATGCACATATATTATGCACATATATATATTATGCACATATATTATGCACATATATTATGCACATATATTATGCACATATATTATGCACATATATTATGCACATATATTATGCACATATATTATATATATATATATATATATATATATATATATATATATATATATATATATATATATATATATATATATATATATATATATATATATATATGTATATACACATATTTATATCTATATATATTTATATCTATATACATTTATATCTATATATTTATATCTATATATTTATATCTATATATATACATATCTATATCTATATCTATATCTATATCTATATCTATATCAATATCTATATCAATATCTATATCTATATCTATATCTATATCTATATCTATATCTATATCTAATCTATCTAATCTATATCTAATTCATATCTAATCTATATCTAATATATACTTAATCTATATATATTTGCATATACATCAAAGATTCATAAAAGACTAAAAACTATGATAAAAATCTTCAAGTACAGATTTCAGAAAAGTATACAACACACTTGCTGGCTGTACTCACTTGCATGGGATTTCTCGTTCAAAAGTCCCATTGTTAGTCTCTGTGCATATGATCCCTGGGGCGGCCTGGCACACAACCTTTGCCCGGCCTTTTTCGGTGCATCCTCGCGGTTGCTGGGTCTCAGGTGCTATGTTGAGGTCGAGACACAGGTATTGTCCCAGTAGCAGAGAGGAACAATTTGTGGTGTAGTCCCCAAGAGCTCCAGTAATGAGGACCGCAGCCACGATCAACCACAGGACATATTGCGCCGTTCCTCCCTGCATGACCGGGATTTTTGGAAAGCCGAAGGTTCTCAGTCGTTTCATGCTGAAGTGGTGTGCTGCTGATGATTGTATGCAGTCATCATTCTCAGTCTGCTTGCCAAGAGGTGCATTGTTCTCCTGTAAATCAGGGCTGGAAAGAAGAATTAATAAAGTTTGCAGTGTATTATTTCTTCTGTTATTAGTATCATTTATTTATATATTCATTTTGCTTATGTCTATACTTTTGTAGTGTTGTCTACACAACAAGAGGTACTAAATCCTCATGTTGTATTTACTTTATTACTTTCCAGTGGTGGATTATTTTATTATAAAAAAAAATTGTTTGTGCATAAGGGTTGAGGGGGGTGTAAATACTGCTCATAATTTTGGGAACTTACCGCTTATATCTTACATGTTTCTCTTATAGGGTCTTAAACTACAATTAATCTACATTCCCTGGATCTCTTCTTTTTTCTTATCTTCTTTGTTTCTATTTGTATTTCTTCATTTATTTCTTCCCTTGTTCTCTTGTCTTGATATATGATGTCATATATTTTTGTTTAGGTTTTTGTCTCTGCTTGTGGTACTTTTTTTATTGGTGATTAATCTGCACCTGAAATCAGGAGACATGTTGTTAGATTAAGAATTGTTACTCTTTTTTGTATATCTAATTATTTTATAGCATGTGAATGGAAATTTGGGCACTGAAACAGTAGGTGATCAATATATTTTTCTTGAATTTTAAAATTTCTGAATGAAGGTTCCCTTTCAATTTTGATCTTGTGTTAGTGTTGATTTAGCTTGGAGTATTTTCATTCTTACAATCACTGGATCTTGTTTATGGATCTCATCTATTGTTTTTTAGATAAGTCTTTTGATAATAGATTTTTTTTCCAGATTTGATTATTATAATGAATTCCAATTCCAAGTTTCTACTTAGGTTATTTGTCATTTTCAATTTTAATTATGGGTACCACTGAGGAATATGAGTATTGAGGTCTACAAAATTTGTTTGGGTTCATCTATTTGTTCAATAAAGCATTCACTATTTTTATATATCATTGCATGATTTATTGAATAACTCATAATTCTACTAGAACTTTTGATAATGTCATTTCTTAGTTCCCCTGTCGTGAGTTAATGATAATGTTCAATATTACTTTACAGATATTCATGTTGTAATTAACCCCAGAAAATTCTTGTTTGCACTTCTTTATTTGTTTGCTGAGTGTTTTTCATTTGCATTTATTGAGTGATTGAGTTTCACATTTGAATTATTTTTTTTCTAACATGTGAATTGCTATGCTGATTATGTTGTCATCATTCATAATTTGGTGCTCATGGTTTGAAATTGGATTCAACTGATTTTGTCTTTACTATTTCCATGTTATTTTGAGTTTTATTGTTTTGCTTTATGTCTAGGGTCATTTGGCATGTTGTGAATGATCTTCATAAGAAAACGCTGTCTTTGTCTTTGTTAATTGTGTTTATTGGAATTACTTTTAAATTGTCAACTTTATCCAAAATTGCTTCTGGAAAGATAGATAGTTAAAAGTTACTGGATTTTGGTTGTCTATAATTAAAGTGGACTTCTCAGTCACCTAAATCTTTATTTTTATATGATTTCTTTTTTCTATATCATCTACCTCAAATCTCAATGCTTTTTTCTCTCAGTATTTGTTACCAAGAGCGACAGACCGTAGAGATGAAGTCCCTAAACCACACAATCATGTAAACCCATAACTCCAAACCTAACCTTTCCTACCTTTCATTTATTCCCTAGACAGCCTGTCCCTCCCCTTTATTAGCACTTCATGCCAAATTGCGGAAAATAGAACATTAAGAACTCTGGCTGTGTGAGGGTCCTGTAAACTCAGTCTGTGAGCAGTGACATGCAGCAAATATTTTTATAATTTTGCAGTAAACATAAGGTCGCTGCAGCTGTACCTGTGTTATTACTCTACATCTTATGCTCTAAAAGACAGCAGTGTCCATTTCCCTCTATTTTGGTGTATTGTTCCCATTAGCATTAACCTTTCTCTCTTTAGAACTCTTTCTTCCTTCCTTTATTTTAGACTCCACGTACCAAACCACCTTGTGTATTCTCTATGATGTATTTTTGATCTCTCTATCTGTTAATTCTGAGGTACTTTTCCAAAATTTGGGTATTTGTTACTGAGAGCAACACACCTCCAGAGATAAAGTCCTAAAACTAGGCTATCATGCAAACCCAAAGTCCAAACCTAACCCTCCCTTCTTTCTATTTATTCCCTAGCCAGGGAGGTTAGCCCCCTTGTACCTCCCCTTTAATAGCACTTCGAGCCAAACTATAAAACTGAACATTAAAAACTCGAGCGGTGACATGCAGCGGATATTTTCGTCCCTTCGCGGTAAATACGAGGCCGATGCAGCTGTACATGTGTTATCTATTACAGTGTCTATTTCCCTCTACATCTGTGCGTCGCTCTCGATAACCAACATTTGAAATTGATGGTTCTCCTTTCCATTAAACAAGTATTACACTGCTACTTGCTTTTCTTTGGATGTGATGTTTTGCGCTGATCGGCGGTGACGTTAAGCTGCTACTTCCGTCCGGTTTCTTTTTCTTTTTCGACTGTTTTCGTTATTATGGTACTTTCTTTGGTTCTCTTTTTTTGGGGGGGACTATTCCAAGGTGATTTCAGTCTTCATATTTCCAAATTCATATTAGGGAAGTTCGCTCTTTCCTTGTTTTAGTAAGTAAACACTATCGACTTTTCCCGATGACGTCACGTTTGGTCGTTTAAGTTCCTAAACTGTAAATAACTATTCGCAGAGAATCATCAAATCCCTTTGTAAATTTACCCCTAAAATAGAATGAGGTGGTTTAAAATGTGAACAGTTGAGATACAGCTGTGAGATATTGCATGAATGTTACAATGTACTGTATGTATATTGAATATAATACTGTAGACTATCAAGTGTAAAAGAGTATAAACATTGCATATTTTTGAAAAGCAAAACCTGTTTTAGGGTATAATGGTGCCAGCAATAATAGGAATAGTGGCAGCTATAATTTAGTAATTAAGATTTTTAAAAATCTAATAGTAAAAAAAAATACAATAATGAGAATACTAATGATCATAATATTAGTACTGATAAAACAGTAAGATTAAAAAGGAATTGTGAAATACAAAAAATAGGAAAAAAGATTCAGAAATGTCATCTAACTTTACCCTTTAATACTTACCATTCAAATTCTTATTATTACGGAATTATTAACTTTGTACTGAAAATCATAAACCTATTCCTGTGAACTTTTTGATAATGATTTGTAGGAAAAAATATATATGTTCAGTACAGAATACTGTAACAGAACTTACAGACAACATATATTTTTCATTTATCTTTTCTTAATATGAAACAAATTCACCTTGAAAAAACATTTATAAAATATTTTGTCACAAATAAATATTCAAATGAGAGAAGATCAAACACTATAACATCATGTCATTTTAAAAGTTACTAAATCCTAATCAATTTTGTGATGTACTGATGACCAAAGACATCACATCAAAGCAAAATTTAAAGAGAATGAGCCAGTCTAGTTAAGCTAAACTTGATATCTAATATTATACACTTTTAACTATTTCCTTTTTTGAATACTAAACATTATGCCTTGTCTATATCCGTACATAAAAGACTTGCATATAAATAACACTAATTATATTAATTACCATTATAGTTACTCATCTGTTCACATCAATAAATTAATATTAAAATATTTACAAATATAGATTGCACAGCCATGAACATTTAACTATAATGTACTTTAATCCTTAAAGGACACACCTTACAAGGGTATGCATGTGCCAAGGTGCTCTTAGACCAATTGTATTTATCAAATATTTTGTTGGTTTAAACTTTTATCTATAACATTAGAATTGATATGTTCATGTTAATGCACTACAGACAAAGTACATAAACTTGAATATATTGACAATTATGTTATAGATGAAGGTTTAAACAACCAAAGCATTCAAAAACACAATTAGTCTGAGAACTTTGGACATACATGCTTTCATCCAATCAGACACATGTGTGCTACATTAGAGCATTATGCCATCATTTAAGTTTACTTTAATTCAGTTTGTATAAAAAATTAGCTGCAATTTTGGAATCTGCAAATCAAAATCTATATTACGTGAGGAAAACAAGGCGTCCTGTGGAAATATTGGTACAATTTGTTCTGTATCTTCTACACCTGCAATATGCCTAAATACCGGATGCATATCCAATTTACTTACACAGACAATATAAAGTGAAATTGCAGGAAAATCCATGTTAAAATACAGTTTTACTGAAAAACAAGACAACAATTTCAAAATCCTCCAGTATTTCACCTTCCTGTCTAACGAGGTGAATAAGAGATATAAAAGGAAAACACTGGAGTGACACAAGCAACCACAAACCAAGACATGGTTAGGAAATCTAAGGGAATTGTTTTAACAGGAATACTGTTTATAACATGCAAAGGAAGATTTATTTTTGTGAATGTAGGACATGAGAAATAAAATGCATAAGAAAATCATATTATGTTAAATGAGGAGAAACAAGACACTTAGATAATATTACAAGCTACAAGGAAGAGACAATTCAGCTATACAGTGAGAAAGGGAAGAGCAGAAAATGATGGGAAAATTCACAAATCTCTAGAAATTTTAATTTCTCTCCTTTATTTAGTTCAAAATACATCATCTAGTATGAGAATAAAACACTCCATGAATAATCTTTAAAATCCTAAAAAGAACTTTTTAAAATTGGATTTTCTTAGATGACTAGGCAAATGATGTACAGGATACAATTGAAACAAAAACAAGAACAAGAAAAACAAAAACAAGAATAATAAGATGTAGAAGAACAAGAACACAGGAACAAGAGAATGAGAAGATAAAGGAATATAATATTTAATATTTATGATAACTTGTACATATTACAGGTACTGAGAAAATAGACTGAGTCTTTCCTGCAGTCATGTGTGCTCATGTCAAAAACTTGTAAATGATATTATATTTTTTCTTCTTTCATATATCCATCAACTTTCTCATAATATCTTTGATCCTCTTCCTCAGATGACAAATCCTCACTATCTGATTTACTGGAATGTCTGTGCGAGCTTTTGGATTTCTTCTTCTTGTGTTTTCTCTTGCTTTTTTTCTTTTTCATTTTCCGCTTCTTCTTGTGGTCTGTCCAGGTGCTCTCTCCTTCATCTGAGCTGCCCCTCTTCTCTGATTCTGAGCTTGACAGCTCTCCCTCCTCTGTATTCTTTTCAACTTTAATTCTCTTCTTGAATTCTTTCTCATTCCTTTCTCCATATTTACCTTCCAACTTATTTGAATATTGTTCTCTCTCTGTCTCGTATTTCCTCTCTTTTTCTTCTGTATGGTAGTATTCTGAGTAATATTTGTGCCTTTCCCTTTCCTTTCTTTCCTTGTAATATTTTTTTTCAAATTCATTTATGTATCTTTTATCCCGTTCTTTTACTTTCTCTCTTCCTCTTTCTTCCCACGATCTTTCTTCTCTACTTCTTCCTCTGTAAACACCTTCCTTTTCTCTCTTGTAGTCTCCCTCCCTCTCTCTCCTCCTGTCTACCTGTTTATCATCCCTTGCCTCATCAAAACTGCCTTCCCATTTGCTACTGTTTTTTCTATATTCCCTCACTTCATAATCGCACCTCTCACGGCTGTCTGTCTTTCTATAGGCTGTTTCTTGTTCTCTACCTTCTCTGCTTCTCTTCCTTGACTCACTGGTATCATGTCTGTTTACTCTTCTGTCACATCTACTGTCACTCTCTTGCTCTCTTCGCCTATCTCGCCTGTCTCTCCCATCACCACGATCATGAGACCTTCTGAATGGACTGCTGTCTTCCTCCCCTCTGGTGGAACTTGCATTCTCTTTCTTGCTCTGGGTGCCGTGTTCCTTTTGGTCACTGGGATGCTGTTCCTCCCTGCCAATTTCATCTCGGGATTCAGAAGTTTGATGAGGAGCATCGGATTCTAATTCTGCAGCTCCTATAAACACCATCATGTTGTGTATGATTTCTCTGGCCACCTGAAAGAGAAATAAAAGACATATTAAAGATTCCCTGTAGTAAGGAATAATTACTGGAGACCTAAAACTCACACAAAGTAATAAACACACTTCAGTAATCTTTTAGTATGTAATATCAGCAGCTTATAAGAATGCAAAACAAAGAAAAAAAATATCCTGTTATTTCTTGCACAAAATATCTATAAAAGAATGAATGAATGAAAGAGACAGGACATCAGTATACAAACAATTAAAAATTATGTCAGAAAAATTATGAGTACAACTTACTTCTGTATGACTTTTGTTTTTTGTTGAGACCTTCGTTCTGTATGCCTGTCGTCGTCTCTTGAAATCCCTCATTGCCTTTGCCAATTCAAGGCCAGACAATTCCTTTGGCTGCTCCTCCTTCTTAAACACATTTTCCTGCAGTAAGAATGATTTTAAGAATTTGTTGAGTGGTTTTCCAACACTTAACCCTTTGCCAACGAGCATGGCATGTACGTACATGCCATGCCCATTGTGAGTTTACTTGTTTAATTGTTTTTACACATAGATGGCTATACTATATCTATATCTATATATAGAGAGAGATATACAAGCAATATATATATCAAATAAATAAATAATTAAATATATATATATACAGTAAGTCCCCAACTTAAGAACATAATGGGGACCGAGAGGCTATTTGTAAGTTGATTTGTTTGTATGTCGAAAGTCGGGTCTCCATTACCTTTTTTCCCATTGTTTTAAAGTTTTGTTTACATTTACATTACCTGTAAATAAATCCCAATAACTACGACATACCTTATACAGTAACAGACTCTTGAACTATATTCGTGCCCGGGAAATTTGAAGTTTGCTAGCATCTTTCAAACAATTTTTTGGACTTTAGTACTTAAAAAATTTTGTTTGTATGTATGGAATGTTCATAAGTAGAATGTTCTTAAGTAGGGGACTATCTGTATATATATATATATATATATATATATATATATATATATATATATATATATATATATATATATATATATATATATATATATATATATATATATATATGCATATATGCATATATGCATATATGCATATATGCATATATGCATATATGCATATATGCATATATGCATATATGCATATATGCATATATGCATATATGCATATATGCATATATGCATATATGCACATATACATATGCACATATACACATATACACATATACACACATACACATATACACGTATACACATATACACATATACACATATACACATATACACATATACACATATACACATATACTCATACACATATACACATATACACATATACACATATACACATATACACATAAATACACATCAGATATATCATGTTAATGATAAAATTACAAGAAAAAAAAAAATCTTTCCTATCCTAACAATATCAATATATTAAATAAGTAAATAAATAAATAAATAAATAAATATATATATATATATATGCATATATGCATATATATATATATATATATATATATATATATATATATATATATATATATACACACACGCATACACGCATACACGCATACACGCATACACGCATACACGCATACACGCATACACGCATACACGCATACACGCATACACGCATACACATCAGATATATCATGTTAATGATGAAAAAAAAATTTTAAAACAATGTAATATCCTAACAATATCACCCTATACCAATAAAAACAAAACCCTAAAATAAATAGCAAGCTAGTTATAAGTAAAATACAGACCATCATGGAGAGCTCTGGTGGAGGGGCCACACCAGCTGCATTCTGCAATGTGTATTCGTACAGTGCCAACCGCTCTTGCCTTGAGAAATTGGCAATCAACTCCCCAGCTGCTAGTGGAGGTTGCCTTAGATCAGGTGCATCTGGCATAAACATAGTTATATTTTAGAATGCAGTATGAACATGTACACACACAGAGGCATAACTAACCCTTTGCTTTTGAGCGGGGAGGAGCTGTGAAGGTTTTTGCACAATATTTATATGCACCATTTAATTGGTGTTGTCATGAGCTTAAATACCATTGTCTCTTAACCCATTCGCCACACGTGGCAAGAATAGATGTCATGCCCACTTTGATGCACATTTATTTATTGTATTTACACATAGATGGCTCAACAAGTTCTTAATCACCAAATAGCCAGTTATCAAGAACTACCTATTTCACCTGTTTACCCTTTTCCTTCACTTTTGGAAAGGGTTTTCTGTATCATTTCATTGTCTACAATATTCTAATGACAATTTAATAATCATAACATCAATAACAATAATAACAGTATCGATAGCAATGGTATTAATTTTCCCGCTAATTCAATGAATGGAAAAATCAGGGTTGGTAACTAGGGCCTACTGATAGACTCCTTGCCAGCTGAGCACATGTGGAGCCATTTGTATGTAACAAAATTCACCAAAAACTACAGGGGACAGAACATAAATCCGGGGCAAACGGGTTAATTTAAGGCTTGAGGCAAATTTCACTGCCTAAGAACTCCTCATGCAATTTAATCAGTATATATTTCAAGCTTTTCTAGAATATTCATTTTATCTTGAAAATTACTTTTCAAAGTCAAAAACTCCTCTGTAATACTGCTCGTAAATACCACATACTTTGGGTGAAAAGTGAATCAACCACTACTACTGTGTGTCTTTAAGGAAACCTCCTCCCCCAGCAGTTACACCTCTGCATTCATGATATAGTTTGCTTGGAAATTATGTTTAACAGACTAACTTAACTGGTTTGTACCTTTACCAGAATGTGTATACTGTACTGTGTAAAAGACATGATACAAACCAATTTAGAAATAAATCAACACAAAGCTCTTTATGATATATATTCCATGAATATATAAACAGTAAGTATACTTCTAAGCTAGTTCTGGTTTATGAAAAAACAAAAATCAACTGTAACTTCTCATAAACCTCTATCAACATCTTTTAAATAGATGTACATATACATGAAAGTGAAACTATACTGTATGTAAATAACTGTATCTTTACATAATAATTATAAAATATAACACAATTCCCCCAAAAATATCCACAATGAGCATACTTAGGTACTGATCTACACTGGAAGCAATATTTATAATTAAGTATTCATGGGTTTAGTCAAAGCAACTCCATAAAAGGATACAAAGAAATTCCACATACTGTTCATATAGCTGAAAAGAAAGTGGGGGAACGGTCAGTCATTTTGCTGATAAAAATGCATTCTGAAAATAACATGTGCTTTATAATATACTTGAATTTTCTCTTTATCTTTTTTTATACAAATCTATAAATGCAATATTCCATATACAGTATCCTACCTGGTCTCCTGTAAGCTGCTAAAACATTCCTTTGTACATCAGCATCTGGAAATTCAATCATATTATTAAGATCATACATCAGAGTTAAATAATCAAACACATCCAAAAATTAACATTATTACCTCTAAAAATTTCAGCAATAAATATAGAAATAAAAAGACCAATCCAAGTTACCTATAGTAACAGCAGACACTCCTTTGACTGGTAATGCCGGCAACAGAGGCTCATCATTAAATTCATTACTCTTTTCCGGGCTTCTAGTCATGCCACCATTCTGTAAATTAAACATCATTAATTCTTTCGAGATATAACATAAACTGAAAGAAAGAGAGAGAGAGAGAAAGTGTGGGTGAGTGAGTGAGTGAGTGAGTGAGTGAGTGAGTGAGTGAGTGAGTGAGTGAGTGAGTGAGTGAGTGAGTGAGTGAGTGAGTGAGTGAGTGCAGTGAGTGAGTGAGTGAGTGAGTGAGTGAGTGAGTGAGTGAGTGAGTGAGTGAGTGAGTGAGTGAGTGAGTGAGTGAGTGAGTGAGTGAGTGAGTGCATGAGTGAGTGAGTGAGTGAGTGAGTGAGTGAGTGAGTGAGTGTGTTTATATGTGTGTATATATGTCTGTATGTGTATGTGTATGTGTGTATATATATATAAACATCTTTATAGATATATATATATATATATATATATCTTTATATATATATACATATATATATATATAAATATATATATATATAAATATCTTTATATATATATAATATATATATATATATATATATATATATATATATATATATATATATATATATATATATATATATATATATATATAAATATCTTTATATATATATATAATATATATATATATATATATATATATATATATATATATATATATATATATATATATATATATATAATATATATATATATATATATATATATATAAATATATCTATATATATATATACATATATATATATATACATATATATATATATATACATATATATATATATATATACATATATATATATATATATACATATCTATATACATATATATATATACATACATATATACTTATATATATACTTCTACTTCCTTTGTTTATATTCCTTTGTAATCTTTTTTTCCATGTTTTTAGTATGACTCTATTTAAAGCCAACACTGAAAAAATACAATAATTACCCAGATCTAATCAATGATTCATTTTCAAATGAAAAATATTAATGAAATACAATTAAATCAATAAACAGAGATGAAACATCAAAATAATTTACAATTTGATTAAAATACTGCAAAAAGGATTTTCTGCATCATTACAAGAAATTAGGCATTACAATGACTTACTGATTGTACATCCGTCACATCTTCAGACCATCCCAGTGTCTCTGTAAAATTTCTCAGATTGTCTCTTGCTGTTTCCAGAAAGTCTTCAAGGTTATTTAGGTATTCTGATCTTGATGAATGACTGATGTTTTGTTGCATCATAGTTGTGGTTTTGATTTATCGTTCTTAGATCTGAAATTATAAAAGAGAAATGTAGATACTGGTGTACGCATACTAGACTCATAATTATTTAAATAACCTTTTTATTTCTTAATTATGTCACACACTGAAAATTCAAAAAAAAACTTAGAATTCCCCAATTCATTGTTTTCCTTTTGCAACATGCATAAAAGAGACTGAAATTGTATACTAATTTCCATTCTGTTTAGATTCTCTCTTGAATTCATGAATTGCAAATTTATATATTTTTAAAGGAACTTCTGTTATAAATATATAATAAGAACATTTGGTATTTTTTGTAATATCTCTGCATAACTAACCACAACATTTTGGTAGTGATGGATTCCTTTCTG